TAGTGGCATAAAAATACTGACCCAAAAAAGCTTTCAAGAATAATTTGACTTCTGGCTATCTGTTATATTGTGAATGACATTTCTCTTAGGCTATTGATGTGACTATTTGCCACATCAGGAAGCTGCTGCAATCAGTACACTAACAGTTTATTCCAATAATCCACTCAAGTCATCTCTCCATGAAACAGAACGTGGGGATGCTCCTACCATTCTGATTTACATGATAAACTTTGTAATATTTCACAATATGCAAAATTTCCCAAATCATCCAAGTCTGCCTGAATCATAGGGATTAATAGTTTCTGAATTTATTAAGCTACAGATGATATACACTATATTTTAACTGTGAATTGAATTTCACTATCCTACCATAACAAAATCCACAGTTCAAACATAACTAACTCACTCCACAGTCAAACTTAAACTAAATGTCTTTTCAATCATTTTAAATGCATGGTCTTATTACATATTTGGGCTTTCAATGTTCTGTCGTTGCACAAAGTTAGCAGCATCTTAAACGCTTCTTTAATACCGGTCTTTATTTTGTATATAATTATCTCATTGGCCACTCACTCCTAGTCTAGATCCTGAAAATGTGTATGTATCTAGAGTAAGTCACCAGACATAATGCAAAGGATACGTGTAAATTTTTGCACTATAAAGGTTAAAGTAAGTTTTCAAGTAACTTTTCATTACAGTTCCTTGAATTTTTCTCGTTTTTTACTGTCATTTCTCCCAACTATCCTCAGTTTAAGCAGCTAGTTTGTTACTGGTGTAAATATATGTCCAAAATGGTAGATTTATCAAATGAAAATGCATTCTTCACATTGCGTGAGGGAATTAATTCCATGCTATTTCTGGCCTACTTCTTACCCACTTTGTGTATGTATTCCATGATTTTTTTTTTTTATTTTTTAATATTCTGAAGCAGATTCAGCTACCTAGGAAATAATTCCTCAACTGTTATTACAAAGACAGATACTTATATCTACTGATATAAGTAGTGCTACTACGCAGCACTACTGAATTGTCTTCTGCAGAGATACAATGATCTGCTGATATGATGCAGTAAGAGGTAGAGGCCTCAGACTAGGACAAGCCTCTTTTTTCAAGAGCTCTTCAGAAAAGATTTCACACAGAACACAAGTTTCTTTTGATCATCACAAAAAAGCCACTGAAAGTTTCACTTACTCTTAAAGACAATATTTTCCTTGGGCCATTTTGCAAGATTTCTTAAAAAGTACCAAAGAGACTGGGTTCCAGGCTCCAGTTAAGTAAGAAAATACTGTGAGCATAAGGTATTTATTTAAAACATTTAAAAGAATACTTTGGTGTCCTTCCTTTGAGCAGAGAGAATGGCAGAATATCAACAGATGAGAATATAATTCCCCTTCTGGTACATATTCCCGTAGCATTTCAGTATGCCTTTCAGCATGAGTCTCTCTCAAAGCAAAATGGATACAACCACATAGGTTTTGTTTCTAAAAAGATATATAAGATATTCCAAAAAAAAAAATCTATAAGGGGATGTTACCAAAATAAATTAGCTACATAAACTTTAAGAAGTTATTTTAAGAAGTAAGAAGTCTGGGAGCAGCAAGAAATCAAATAGTTTTCTTTTCAAACTGAACACATTAATTTTAGGGAAAAATCTTAAAATATGAAAATGGTACTACACAAACACTTCATATATTACTGTGTCAGAAAGAAAATAAAAAAGTAAATTGAAAAAGCAAAACATAAAGATGTAGGGTATAAAATCACCCTTATAATACTAACTCACCAGACCCAACATAACATAGTTTTTCCCAAATCTTTTGGGAAAAAGGCTTCGAAAACGCATCTTCAAACCTAAGCATATGGTTTCCTTTAGGAAGGGCAAACTAAGCAGATGTTATAAACCACATCTGAGGTCATGACAGTATTTTGCCAGAAGGAAAAATGTAAACTGTCTTATCAGATAGTTGAGATGCAGCTATGGCACCACAGCACAGTGGTACTTGGATAGAAAGCTGGATCAGGTTGAGGATATGACTCCTTGTGAAGATGAAGTTAAAACAAATAGTTACATTTCCTTTTGTTATAACACATATGCAGGAGCACAAATATTGCCTGTAATAATGGTGGCTTTTAATTTCCATCATTTGAGAACACAAATGCAAGATGTTGGTACTCTCACAAAGAAAGAATATTCTGTTCTTTTTTTGTTGGGATTATCAATAGCACTATTTACCAACTAACAGCCATGATTAATGTGGGCACTGCCAGCCAAAAAATACAGCTGCAATCTGTCCCCTTCCTTTTAGGGAGGCTATGGTCTCTCTCTCTCTCTCTTTTTTTTTTTTTTTTTTCCTATTTAGAAACTTTTGGAAAAACAAGTTTGCAGAACATTCAAGACATAAGAATTCAAGTTTGAGTTCCAATACTCCAAAATATTCAGTAGCAAGTTTCTAAAAAGATATGTGGAATTTAGTTCAAAAATTAAAGAACAAAAAGCTAAAATTAAAACTGAATATTTTTCCACCATATAGCTCCAGTACTCCTTTAGAGTGAAATTCATATTATTTCGAGAAATTTCAAGTGTCAGGCTTTAACGAGGGGATTTGCAACAAGATTTGGAGGAAAAGGCTGTTATGGACTGCAACAGTCTTACAGTAGGAGACTTCTCTGAGACAGTTCTGTGGCAAATCTCTCAACACCTAGTTTCAATATCTAACACATCTGTCCTATTAGCTCCATTTAGCATTTGGATTCTTACATAAGTCTCCCTGCTGACTGTCCCACAATCATTTTCTGACTTATGAGGCCTAATGTGAACAATGCTGCAGCTGTAGCTAATGGCACAGAAACACTGGTACTAGCTCAGGCCAGAGGTCCCACAAGCTCACTGTTCTGTCCCCAGCAGGGGCTGGGAGCTGGTGCCTACAGAAAAACCAGAACAGGACCAGTATACATGTCACCTCCCTTAACATCCTCCTGGACACCAGGAATTTGGAGCACAGATTGAAAGAGGATTTAGACAAAACTGAATTCCCAAATCAAACTCCTTCCTCTCATACTTTCCACTCAGCAGCTATCTAAACCCATTAAGTGCTGACCTGGTGACTGTGAAGCTCCCCAGACTCCAGGTTTGCAAATGTTTATAACTTCCTTGCCCCGAGCAGCTCTGAGAGAAAGGGAAAACGAACAGGGACACAATGCAGGGCGTTCAGTCATGAGCGGATGGGTCCTAGCTTAGGGTCTCCGTATAAGGTACTGTTTCTGGAAGGAAGGTCCTGGAAGCACAGTCTCAACTCTGAGTTTTGGCAGCCTAACCACTTGGGAACGCAGGAGCTCATCTGCAGCTCCTCAGCTGGCCTAAGGAGTCTTCTGCACTTCTACCTAGGGACAATTTTGGAAAGACGGCAATGTGCGTTCTCCCTTCCTGACACACTTACAGTGGCTTGTTAAAACATTCTCTTGATTGCTGAGGAGGAGGGCTGAGCTTTTTCAAGAGCAGTAAGAAATTCAGAAAGGGAGCAGTTTCAAAAGCAAAACTAGTACTTGCTCAGTACTTGGAAAGAAGGTTGTAGATGTCTACCACCCAAAGAGAATTGCAGGCTCCTAAACAGAGGGACAAGTACACAATCCAACTCTACTTGCCTAGGCTTCAGGACTAACAGGCACTGAAAAAAACATCCCTCTTGTGGCATTTCCTCCTGGGTATTTTGAAGTTTTCCTTGCTGCTCGACTGGCAGGTTTGTGGATTGACCTTTTAAAGTGCTTAACATTTTATATAGCACCTAGTGTTTAATTCAGACCCTTGGATTCCACCTCAAGGGGCATATCTCTTATCCTTTGTTGATTCTAGGCTTAGACTCCGGTGTTATTAATAAAACAGTGCTTTACCTCACATACGAATCATCACACTTACGATCACGTTTTTATTCGCTTTTAAATAACATGAATGGTGAATATAAATGAATTACAACACCTGTCATTCAGAAACCGGGCAAGTTTCATGGATGTGTCTCTAGATCATAAAGCAAAAACATTTGGGTATCTATTTTTAATTAACGTTAGGCAAAGCTTGCTAGGATATCAATGTATCTATAGCAAGATCATAATAATTATTCTTGCAATAGTGAATATGTTAAAATTTCAGTTTCGGAGGCATAAATACGGAGTAGTTTCCCACTAATGTAAAAGGTACTCCAGGTTTTTATAGTGTATTTGAGATCTGAACTGAGCCAAGTAACTCTACCAAGTTAGCCTTGAAAAGTTCTGTACAATACTATTTTTTACAGTTAAAATTCTACTATGGCTCCTTCTCTCTCACAAGGAATATATTACAGCAAATCCAAAACAGGCTGTAAGTCAGATTTATCATGCTCAGCTGGATTACTGACTGATCTACTTCTAAATACAAGCTGCAGTTGCATATACAAAATGACTAAGACTGCCAGCTGTGTTCCTGTGGGTCAAAACACCCTTTAGGAATCCTTTCCGAGTCTAAACTACGGCGTGCAGTACACGTTTTAGTGCAAACTATAAAATGCCAGTCTGTGACCAGCAAATTGACCAACAGGTAATGACTGAACTCGTCGAACATTTTATTGGTTGGTTGTTTTTGTAAACAGACCTCCATTATTTATCATTTAAGCAGTCAAGTAACAAAATCAGTAACTAGCAAGGCAGTAAAAATCTGTTCGGTTAATCTATCACACCTTTCTTACATTGAAGCGTTCCAAAAAGATAGTCAAATCAGCTAACAGATGAAACGAAGCAGTGTTAGCTAAATCTCACTAACTCTCCTACGTGGGTTTAGGTGGCCTTAGTTCCTTTTACTTCATGCTTCTGAGAGAATCTCTACATAATTTTAAGAAGAGTTTAACTAATACAGCTAATGGTGCAAATTTTAAGTATCTCAGTGTAACTTTAATTAATATCCTCATATAAATTTAATCAACAAACAGACAACTTGCCAAATACTAAGGCAATGTTTACCAGCACACCCTTACCTCCACGATCCCGTGCTGCTAAATTCTGTCCTCTTCTTAAAGTAATGTCCAACTGGTACATACCGGGATCCGCAGACGGAAAATCTGCATTACTAGTTCCAACTGAATTTGTTCTCTAGAGAGAAGGAAAAAAAAAAAATCCAGTTACTAACGTTCCTAAAAGTTTCAGGTAAAGTGTATTTTTTCCTCCACTATTCGCATTCTGTTGAATTTAAGACACAGTCTTAATCCATTCCTCCATCTCAAAACAAATACCCAAACACCAAAAAACACAAGCGTGTCTTCAGCACAACCACCCCTGAGCACTGAATCCACTAGTTCACATGCCCCAGCCACACGCTCCAGGTCTGCTGCGGTGGAACCAGAAAGGCAAAACCAACCTAGAGCTTACAGTATTATTTGGACTAGTAATTACTTACCTATACCCTCAAACCCTGTATTTAGCAGTAATAATGTAGGCTTGAACAAACATCTATCTCTCTTCTGACTGTCCTTAAACGCATTATGGTTTTGCCGGTCCCTGGATTACTTTGTAAAATGTGTTTTTTTCTAGAGAGTTATGAGGGAAATTGGAAAAAAAAACAAAACAAAACAAAACATGAAGTCATTAAACGCAGTTGTAGCTCTTCATTTGTAATCTGTGCCTTCTTTGTTTGAGCAAATGGTTCCCGTTTGCCAGGACCAAGGTAAGACTCCTGAGGCAGTTATTTGCATAAGCTCTAACATGAAAAATAAATAAAAGAAAAGGCAGAAAGAAAGGAACTCTCTGGACTGCATTAATGTAACCAGACTTCTGTTCCAAATAACTAAGTAAAGAAATTAAATTTCCCGGTACACTTACAAACTTTTGGAAAATAGGTCTTAGTACATGCCTTGGTAAGTGCCTTCTAAATATAGTTGTTACTTGAAACATTGTATTTAATTTTAAAACTAGAATGGCTCTGTCTATTATGCATTCGCAGTAAGGACAGAAACTTCATATACTATGCACACGTAGCACCACTATCATTTTTCCGGTGATGACAAGAATTTTTAAAACTAGCGCTATCAATATTTTATTATATGAGTAATTATGTGATTATTTATGTGATTTTATTATGTGTTTATTATTTATTATGTGATAGTCTTCTAGAAGGGGGTGCGGGGGAAGCAGTGTGACAGTGCTGTCTCTGAGAAGAGCACAGCTACCTCAGTGCTGCAACACTCCAACAAGAAACTTTTGTTGACATTTCTCTTCCTGTCCCTCCCCCTTTTTTAAGGGTAATAATAAATCTAAAGGATGAATAAAATCACAAAATAAAGCAAATTTAACACATGCTTTAAGTCTTGTATGCCAGAGTCGCGACCCTGAGCCTAGCATATTACCTTCTGTTGCATCACACGCTGCTGGCCAAGCCACAGACAGACATGCTCATCAGTTCCACAGAAATGAACTTTCTCACTGCACTTCAGAAAGAATGATCTGATGAGCTTGGATATTTTCTTTTTCTTTTTTTTTTTTGGGGGGGGTGGTGACAGTTGAGGAAGTCCCTCAGTATTTGTCTTCTAATTTTGTGGTACCTCAGTCCTTTTAAAGTAACTGTTTAAGTTTGAAATTATCAACAGAGCTTATGAGATTCTCACAGAAGTCACCCACAGCCACCTTCTAAATAACTGCCTCCTCACTCTTCATCTTGCCTTTTTTTTTCTCTCTCTCTCTCTAATTTTGTGGTACCTCAGTCCTTTTAAAGTAACTGTTTAAGTTTGAAATTATCAACAGAGCTTATGAGATTCTCACAGAAGTCACCCACAGCCACCTTCTAAATAACTGCCTCCTCACTCTTCATCTTGCCTTTTTTTTTCTCTCTCTCTCTCTCTCTCTCTAATGTACTGACCCCAAAAAGATACAAGGCAGACAATAAGGGAAACTGAAATCCATCTCCCCCACCCCAGTCCTACAGTGCTTATACTCTTATCTAGTACAGCCAGAAATCAGGCAGGCTCACACCGCTCTGAGACTCAGCCTCACCCTAGGCCCAGGAACAGCGCATCAGGGTATTGTGGAAGAAGAAACTTGGGTTTGGAAGTAAATAATGAGCACCAAGATTTTCCGTCCCCTTTCTGGCTCTTCTACGGGAGCTTGCAAATACAAAAGAAAAAACCATGATCTCACCCCACATTTACCATCTCCTCCTCAATTCTTTCCCATGGTACTCCAACCTCTCTTCCTCTTCTAGTTATAACAGAAGCTCTACATGAAAACGTATGGTTTAAACGGTTGCATGTTTCTCTCCCTTCTCCCCTTTCTCACCTCCTTTTCAGTGTCCTTCCTTTCTTTTTTCTTGCAATGAAACTTGACTTTCTATTTTTAATTTTGGCGGTAATTATTCAGTGTTACTCAAGGCAGCTAAAAACACCTCAGGTAAGCAACGTAACAAACCCACAGAACACACACAGTTATACAAAGGAAATAAAGAAATAGATATTAACTGTCCACTAAACATTAGAAAGTCAAACCAGTATTTCTGCATCAGAAAAGCATTTGGAATACATAATTTAAACAGAGGTTGTCATAACGAATACAACTGTCAAAGAATCATTTTCAACCACCCTTCAAATTAACATTTAACTATTAAAGTGTCAACCAGCAAAAAGTAATAACACGACACTTTTATGCGTTCTGCAGCAATGGAGCTAAAGTTAGAAAACTCTGAACAAGAAATGTAAAGAGTGTACAAAGCCTACAATAGCCCTAAGCATGCAATAGTTTCAAAAATACATTTGCTTAACTGTCAGTTCTACCTAATCACGTGAAGAAAAATACATTCTCTCTATCCAGGAAATACTCATCACAACCAGAAGTTGGTGTGACCCACAACACCGTTTCATACTGGCTGTTACAGGATGATTAACACCCAGTCTTCAGACAAAAGTAAGCTCACGAAAGGAGATCCCAGCTTCATTTTCAGTGTCTCCACACAAGGTCTTGAACATTATTTTATTAACTCTTTTAACAAAAATGTTGAGATTCTAGGTGAAAAGTACAAAGGCAATTAGCCACTATTTCATATAAGTCAAATCTTTTGTGGGAAAGTGAGGTCTGAATTTATGTCTTTGAATTATTTTTATTAGTGGTCTGTTATTATTTTACTTTAAAATATACTTCTTAGTGAAATTATGTCTAAATTTTAGACTCTACAATCCTCCATAAAATCCATATTAATTTAGTTTAAAGGAAATTTTTTATTCGTTACAACAAACACTATCCCTGAAGTCGCTATATTGACAGTATTCTGTTCAAAGTTCACTGTAGATAGTGCTTTTTGACAGAGAGCTTAAACAACTCTCATCATGATGAAGATGCTCCACATGAAGAAGGTCAAGATAGAGATCTCAATAACCATACTCCTTCTCAGCTCTGCTCTCATGTTTAATAGATATTATAGTAACTCCCTTGGGAGGTTCTCTTACCGAATAGCATGAGCAACAGGTTTTTTCACTTTAGGTGACACCTCCATGGTAAGTTTTACAATATTCTAGATTTAACATAAATGAATCTGCAGTAACAACTCATAACTGACTCATGATATGTTAAGCGGATGCTCTAATGTGCCTAGAAAATATGCAATGTGGTCGAGCTTAACTGAACAGAGAGCGTGCACTGGCCACACTTTCGATGACCTCTTTAAGTGGCACTCCTCCTTTAGGCATGTCTTTCAAGATACTCCTATTATACAAACTCATCTGAAAGAAGACTGTTTCCAATAGCTTAAAGCCAGGAAGCAGAAATAAGCCATTTTTCAGCTCAGTTGCAATTCAGCCCAACAGCACTTAGTCAGCTGGTTTATTAGCTCTAAGGCAGTTGAACTCTGTTACATTAGAGGGCTACATAGCACAGGCCCATGATGGACAACGTACGTTTTTTCGTATAACAATTATCAATAAACTAGAATTGGTAACTTTTACATAGAAAAAACTCAATACTGTATTATAAGACTAAAAATCAAATACAGCATTAACACATACAAGCATACTCATCATTAAGCTAAACAGTTAGTTTAAAAACACAAAATAAGATGTTTGACTAAAGTTTAGTAATTTACTGAAACAACAGTCATTCTGGAGACATAAAACACAGTAGGGAGCTCAGGAAGAATATGCTCTTGCCCAACTCTTGCTTTGCTGCCACGCTAAAGGCCATACAAAGTACCACGCTAAACAATCTGAGCACCTTAGCATAAAGAAAGGCTCTGTACTGATTTTTTTATATACAAATTGTTATCATTCAAGGAAATGAAATTGGTCATTGATCTTCTAATGCTCAGAAGGTTCTGCTATCTAAGCTGACACGATGTCCAAGATATTTTCAAAATGAGTATTAAAGATTTTGATTTTTTTTTTTTTAATTTAGTAGCATCTCCCATTTCTATGGGATATAAAGGAAAAAAAATTTGAATCTTCTCCAGAGAATTTCTAGAGCACCTGGAAACTCAGGCTACAGTTGTACAAAGACATTGTGGACTGCTAAATCCTTTGAGATCCCCTGAAGTGAAAAACTAGGTAAATACTTTCACCTCTGTTTTCCACACAATGAGAGACCCTTCGCTGTATGATCCCGATTTAACAGTTTAATGACTAGATGAACAGCATTTTTACAGCTAAACATCTAGATTATGTAAAGAGGCTGTAAACTAGCTAAATGGTATGTCGTGCCAGTAGCTGCTGCAGTAATAAAGCCAAACAGCTGTGCAATTTTATGGTAAGTCCAGTATTTCTACCGTGCCAAGCATTTACTGGTCAGAGTGCAGTTTCAGCTCAACATGGAAGAAAAATGAGGCCGTCTGCATTTGATGGGATTACTAAAATCACCACCATTCCCACATGATATCATGTTCATAGTTTGTTAAAAGAAACACTATGAAAGAAAAACCCAGTGAATCTGATGCTGGTCACTATGGCATTACCAAAGCCAAACCCATTGGTCAGACTATCACTTTACAGTTAGTACAAGATCTCAATAAGTCCCGCTCTTCGTCTCTCTTCTTACAAACCCCATCACAGGGAATTCAAGTTTACTCATTAAACTACTACCTACTCTATATTGAGGGTCTAAAGATTAGTAACCTTTTTTGTCAT